AACTCGAACTGCCGGAACAGATCCAGTGTCTTTAAGCCACTGAGGCTCCTATTTGCTAAATACACGTTGGTTTAAACAGATAGTACAGGACAATTATCCTGTGGGTTAGATTGCGTAGACCAGGGGTCGGCAACACACGGCTCTGGAGCCACAAGCGGCTCTTTAGGCCCTCTGCCACGGCTCCCTGTCCCATCACTGGTTGGCCCCATCCCTCATTTCTTCCTTGGACTCCAGCCCGAAGCAGCAGGAAGCAAAGGCTGCCTTATGCGCAAATGTGGTGTGAAGGCAGGTACAAGGCAGCTTCGCTCCTGCACTCTCCTCCCCTCCTTCTCCTCTTGTGGCCCCCTGGCCAGCTGTGGCTGAGCTGGGAGCATGCACAGGCACAGGGAGACCCTCCTCTCCTCAAGCGAGTGCCAAAGTTCAGGAAAGGTGGGCACGGGGAGGGCAGTGGCTCAATTAAGGAGGGTCTCCCCATGCATGCGCATGCTCCCAGATCAGCCACAGCTAGCCAGGGGGTTACGAGAGCAGGAGGGGGAGGAGGGTCGCCGGAGAGTGCAGAAGCGAAGCTGCCCTGTACCTGCCTTCGTCCCACATTTGCACCTAAGGCAGCCTTCGCTTCCTGCCACTTCGGGATGGAGTCCAAAAAACGAAATAAGAGGGGCGGGGCCAACCAGGGATGGGAGAGGAATGGAAACTCCTCACTTTGAAATGGCAACACAAATCCCCAAGGTAATTCCTATCTATGTCGGACAAGAGAGAGAGGAACACATTGCTTTGGCAATTCCCATGACTTCCTAATATGCAACTATGACACATCCACAAGAACTTTTCAATGGCCTCAACAGAGTTCAAGTTCCTCCCTCAGGAAAGACGCTCCCTCCGCGCACGGCCGAAGAGCTGCCAGGGGTGGGCGATGACATGGCCAGGCGATGACTGGAGCATTAGTGGAGGAGAGAAGCCGTGTCCTGTTAAGACCCTCCTTAAGCAAGCGGCCGCCCACCCCACACACCCCTTTGCTGCGCTTTGCTCCCGGCCAGGGAGTTATGAGAGGAGAGGGGGAGGAGGAGGACAGTCACCCGAAGGGAGGGGGAGACACACACACACACACACACATACAGAGACATAGAAAGACATAGAGAGACACACATTACAGAGTGATCCATAGAGAGCAGGTGTAAGGATTGCTTCTCCTTCCAACTTAAGTAAAGACTCTTGAAACATGATACTTCAAACACAAGTGTGAAGATGTTTTCTTTACTAGTTTCCCTGAGAACCCGAACAAACATGCATTCACACCGTTATCCTTTAAAGTGAAACAACCCACATGGGTATCATAAACATTCCTCCACGTTAAGAGGATCTCAGGCAGTGGTGGGATTCAGCCGGTTCGCACCACTTCGGGAGAACTTTCTGAGCAGTTTGGCAAACTGGTTGTTGGAAGAAATCATTAGGGCAGAGAACCGGTTATTAAATTACTTGAATCCCACTACTGATATCAGGGCTCTTTGGCGCCAGGATATAGGTTGTAAAATATCTGTTGACACAAGCAATGCTAGTAAAGCGAATCCAAGTCTCCCCTTTCTCCCAATTGATTGGCAGTATTACTTTTAGGGATCTGACTGAAACAGGTCCAAGTGGCTCTTGAAGTGTTTAAGGTTGCCGACCCCTGGCGTGGACTCTGGAGAAAAGGTGGCTCCTACTGAGAGAATAATTCTGATTATTGATCAATCAAAGTCAAAAGTTTTGGTCTTTGGAAAACAAATGTGGCCAATGCAGCAGGTAACACCTTTCTTTACTCAGTGTCACTTTTCTCTGAGACGGAATCTTGGATCTGCCATCATCAAAGGAGCTCACCTAAAGCAATGGCAGGATTGAATTTAAAGTTTAAATGGTGAACCTGAAAAAGAAAATCATAGCTATCCAGCTTTCTCCCCAATTATTAGACGAGAATATAATGCCAAAGTTACCCCCAAGCCCTTCAATTGAACTGAAGTTTGGGGCTTAATATCTACCTCTACTGAACAAACCCAATCACAGCACCTGAGGAGTATTTTGGGGGTGGATAAAAGGACTTCAAGTGCTGATTCAGAGCTGAGTTGGGAATTTCCACAATTTCGTCTTTCTCTAAAATCAGAGGAAATACAGTCATGTGAAAAGGAAAGTCCACCCGCTGAGTTCTTACGATTTTATGTATCAGGACATCTGATAAAAAACTACTTGCTCTTTAGCACTTCTTAAAAGTAGGTAAATACATCCTCAGATGAACAACAAAATAGGACATATTACACCATGTGATCATTTCTTTCACAAAAAGAAAGCCAAAATGGAGAAGCCATGTTTGAAAAACTAAATGCACCTTATGATACAATAGCTTGTAGAATCACCTTTAGCAGCAACAACTTGAAGTAATCCTTTTCTGTGTGACTTTATCAGTCTCTCACAATGTTGAGGGAGGAATTTTGGCCCCCTCTTCTTTACAACAGTTCATTGAGGTTTGTGGGGGTTTGTTTCTGCACAGCTCTCTGGAGGCCCCACCACCTCATTTCAATTGGGTTGGGGTCTGGCATTGACTGGGCCATTGCAACGCCTGGATCCTTTCCTTTTTCAGCCACTTGCTGGTCGGCTTGGGGTCATCAGCCTTTTGCATGACCCAAAGTCCACCAAGCTTCAGCTGTCAGACATTTGGTCTCACATCGGACACTGGGATGTTTTGGTAGACAGAGGAGTCCATGGCCGAGTCAATGATCGCAGGGTGCCCAGGTCCTGTGGCTGCAAAAGAAGCCCAAATCCTCACCCCTCCATCTCCGTGCTTGGCGGTTGGTGTGTCATGGTGCTGATAGGCTGTGTGTGGTTTTCACCAAACGTGGCTCTGTGCATTATGGCCAAACTTCTCCACTCTGGTCTCGTCTGTCCAAAGGAGAATGTTCCAGAAGTCTTGTGGTCTCTTCAGGTGCAACTTGGGAAACCTCAGCCGTGCTGCCATGTTCTTTTTAGAGAGAAGTTTCCTCCTGGCAACCCTTCCAAACAAACCAAACTTCTTCAGTCTTTCTCTGATTCTGCTGTCAGGAACTGGAACATTTAACAGGCTCACTGAGGCCTGTAGAGTCTCAGGTGGAACTCTTGGTCTTTTTTTGCCATGTCTCTGAGCATTGCACGGTCTGACCTTGGGTGAACTTGCTGGGATGGTCCCTCCTGGGAAGATTGGCAGCTGCCTTGAATGTTTTCCCCTTCTGAACAATCTTCTTTGCTATAGAAAGATGGACTTTAAATTGTTTGGAAATGGCCTTGTAGCCCTTCCCAGATTGATAGGCAGCAACAATGGCTTCTCTCAGATCACTGCTGGAGTCTTTGCCCTTTGGCATTGTGTTAACACAGACCTCAATGCTGGAGACCAGAAAACTCCTGAAACTTTGGCTTTTATAGAGGCCGTCACACTTGTGATGATCGATTAATCCAGGTCCCTTGATCAGCAGCACCAGGCTTCCTCTCAGCCTCTTCACACCTATGGAAGCAGTCAGGGTGTCCTTAGCCTTTCACACCTGGCTCCTCCATTTCGGCTCTTTCTGTAAAATAAAGGAGGACAGGGTGTTATATCTCCTGTGTTGCTGTTCACCTGAGGTTGCATTTACCTCCTTTTAAGAACTGCTGAAGACCAGATGCTTTTTACTGTGTCCTGATACATGAAACCAGAGAACTCACAGAGGGTCTCCTTCCTTTTCCACAAGGCTGAATTTCTTAGTGTACAATTAAACCTCTGGAACCTGACAGAGTCCCCAAATTCTCTGGGTTAGAAGATGCAGAATTTCAAATAAAGCTCTCTAGGATTATGCATCTGACAAATTATATTAGGAGCTGTGGTCTCCTTATCTCTTGTGTAACTAGAGAACAGGCCCAGAAATGATCAAGGTGGTAGATAAATAAATAAACAAATATTGCTTCACCAAGAATCTGGAATATTGAATGTCAACTGCATAAGAAAGAGAGAGATGAGAGTCTTGGACTGCACATTAGACAAACAATCTATTGGGAAACTTGTGTTAAAGCAACACATTTGCTGTTCAGTCAGAATTAAAGTTATAATACGGCCCTTTATTGGAACGAAACTCTCACTTGACACCTGCACATCTGGATCTGATAGTCCCAAAGGTGCTTTTTTCAAGAGGCAACTGGACTTTCTGGTTTTTCTTTGAAGACCTTTTGCTTCTCATCCAGAGCTGAAGAACCTGGACAACTGAGAATCTCCATAGACATGTGGGCCTGATAGCAATAAGTTGTGATACAGAAATATGTTTTTTTTCTTATTCTTTTTTATTTAATTTGTTTCTTGTGCTCCGTTTTTATATACAATGTTGTTAACACTGTGCTTAATATTCTGTTTGCATAATTGCTATTCAAAAATAACATATTTAATTTGTTCATCAATACCAAGTTGAATTTATTAAAAAATAAAGTTTTGGACTTTATCTGACCCCCAATATAACACAAATTTCTTCATTGCTTTTTCAGATCAGTAATAACCTTGTTTCAGGGGCTCTGAGTGATAAAAGGAAATTTTCCTTTTTCCACCGGATGTTCCCCAAAGAAGGATTCCACTACCCAGCAATTGTCCCCCTGCTCCTCCATTTCAGATGGACCCTGATTGGCGTCTTTGCTTCAGACACAGAAAATGGAGAGAATTTCATGAGGATTTTTCCTCCTATGCTTGTCAGGAGTGGAATTTGTGTGGTTATATCACAACTGTTCTCAACAACAGGATATACAGCATACCTCAGGGATTCCCTCTCTAAGTGGAGACAAGTCAACGTCTTTGTTCACTTCATGGAAAGTATTCCCATTAGGGTCAGAATTCTTCCTTTCCATTTAACACTTATGCGTCTGCCAGGATCCATTGAAGGGAAAGTCTGGATCTGTACAACTTTGGGAGGATTAACATTGAGAAAGAACAGACTTTCCAAATACATCCATAGTTTTTGGAAGTTTGGTTATCTGTTAAAAGAAAGGCCAATGGATGATGCCTTTGAACCCCATTTCTTTGTGGAAGAAAAGTTTCAAGATTTTTATTTCCGCTGTTCTCTTTCAAAGAACGTCTTTTCTGTCAAAGGCCGCAGAAGATGCACCCAGAAAGCCCCACTGGAGACCCAGGAGAAAAAGAACAGAAGAAAGATCCCAAATTATTACCTTTTGTACAGTCTCATTCAGACTCTGGCCCAGGCCTTGAACTCTGCCTATTCCTCCAGATGGAGGAGGGGAAGGAAGGAGGGCGAAGGGAGGTTGGGGGCTCCAAGGCTGCAGCCGTGGCAGGTATGGGGGTCCTGATATTGTGGGATATGAAGAATTGCTTCTAAAATAATGTTTCATTACAGCTTCCACTTCTGCGTAATAAATAAAGAAAATAAGGAACTAGAATATTAAGGAATTTTTGAAAAACTAGTTAAAATGGTATTGTTCTTAGAGTGAGCAAAGTGGTTCAGAAAAGTCTAGATAGAAAAGGGGGGGCTTTCTGAGCAAGAGCTTAATGGAAACATTTCAAAATATAACCGATTTACGCAAAAGAACAAAGGAAAGTTACTGATGCAGAATCACAGCAGGCCATGGAGACAGGGGGTTGCTGGGGAAAATAAGGCCAGGAGTTGAACAGGAGCTCCAGATAGGCCAAGAGCTTGCTAGTCCTTCAGCCAATGGGGAAGCAGGACAGTGTTGAGTGACGGGAGGAAGGGCATAAAACCTCTTGCATGCTTTGATCCGGGTCCACCTGGTGGATTTGAATAGAATAGAATTTTTTATTGGCCAAGTGTGATTGGACACACAAGGAATTTGTCTTTGGTGCATAGGCTCTCAGTGTACATAAAAGAAAAGATACCTTCATCAAGAATCATAAGATACAACACTTAATGACTATAATTATAACCCTATGACTATAATTAAGTGTTGTACCTTATGATTCTTGGTGAATGTATCTTTTCCTTTTATGTACACTGAGAGCGTATGCACCAAGACAAATTCCTTGTGTGTCCAATCACACTTGGCCAATAAAAAATTCTATTCTATAGGGTACAAATAAGCAATCAGGAAACAATCAATATCAATATAAATCATAAGGATACCAGCAACAAAGTTATAGTCATACAGTCATAAGTGGGAGAAGATGGGTGGTGGGAATGATGAGATTAATAGTAGTGCAGACTTAGTAAATAGTTGGCGGGGTTGAGGGAATTATTTGTTTAGCAGAGTGATGGCGTTGGGCAAAAAACTGTCTTTGTGTCTAGTTGTTCTGGTGTGCAGTGCTCTATAGCGTCGTTTTGAGGGTAGGAGTTGAAACGGTTTATGTCCAGGATGTGAGGGGTCTGTAAATATTTTCCCAGCGCTCTTTTTGACTACTGCAGGATACAGGTCCTCCATGGAAGGCAGGTTGGTAGCCATTGTTTTTTCTGCAGTTCTAATTACTAGTATCGTCTGAAGTCTGTGTCTGTCTTGTTGGGTTGCAGGGCCAAACCAGACAGTTATGGAGGTGCAGATGACAGACTCAATCATTCCTCTGTAGAACTGGATCAGCAGCTCCTTGGGCAGTTTGAGCTTTCTGAGTTGGCACAGAAAGAACATTCTTTGTTGAGCTTTTTTTGATGACTTTTTGATGTTGGGTGTCCATTTTAGATCTTGCGATATGGTAGAACCTAGAAATTTGAAGGTCTCTACTGTGGATTCTGTGTTGTCTAGTATTGTGAGAGGTGGAAGTATGGGAGGGTTTCTCCTAAAGTCTACCACCATTTCTACAGTTTTGAGTGTGTTCAGTTCCAGATTGTTCTGGTCACACCATGAGGCTACTTGTTCAACCTCCCATCTGTATGCGGATTCATCATTGTCTTGAATGAGGCCGATCACTGTTGCGTCATCTGTGAACTTCAGTAGTTTAACAGATGGATCGTCAGAGATGCAGTCATTGGTATATGGAGAGAAGAGAAGTGGGGAGAGCACACAGCCTTGTGGGGGGCGGGCTGTGCTAATTGCAGATGCTTTGATAAACTTTTGCTCCTTTTGGGTACCAAATTGCCTTCCTTGCTTTATTGCTGCTTTCCTATTTCTAACAATATGGATCCATCAATCTTAGGTCCTTCAGAGAAGGAACCCAAAGGAGATGGAGGGGAACCTTCACAACCACATTGGGCTTCAGAAGATCAACAGTACCTGGCTGATCACGTACCTGGCTCCCTGCCACATGGCAACAGCCCTGCCCGAGCTACTCAACATCATCGCCGCAGTGGAGGTTGATACCCCTAGGCTTATGGTCATGGGGGATTTCAACCTGCCGTCCATGGGTGAGACGTCTGAGGTGGCTCGGGAGTTCATGGCTTCCATGACAGCTATGGACCTGACCCAGTTAATTGATGGCCTTACCCACACAGGGGGAAACACGCTGGATCTGTTTTTTGTCTCTGGACAGTGGTTGAGGGATCTTGAGATAGGGGATATAGTTACCGAACCCTTGTCATGGTCAGATCACTCTCTCCTTCGTCTCGACCTTCAAACCGCTTCACCCCGCCACAGGGAGGTGCCGGTAAGATGGTTCCGCCCCAGGCACCTGATGGAACCTGACAGATTCCAGATGGAGCTTGGGCCATTTCCTGAGGCTCTGGCACGCGCCTCGACTGGAGACCTAGTGGCCGCCTGGGATAGGGCAGCTGCTGGAGCTCTGGATCGGGTCGTGCCTTTGCGGCCTCTGACCCAGCGCCAATCTCAATTGGCTCCTTGGTTTACCGAGGAGCTGAGGGAGTTGAAGCGCCGGAAAAGACACCTAGAGAGTAGTTGGAAGGCCAGTCTTTCTGAATCTGACCGGACACTAGTAAGATCCCATATTAGGAATTACCTAGTGGTGATAAAAGCAGTGAAATGTAGCTATTTTGCTGCTCTTTTTGCATCATCAGATAACCGCCCGGCCGCCCTCGTTAGGGTGACCCACTCCCTGCTCCACCAGGAAGTGCGGGAGGACCCCTTGGAGGGTAGAGCTGAGGATTTTGTCCAGTATCTGTATGACAAAATCACTCAGATTCGGGAAGATTTGGACTCCGACTGGGTAGTCTCAGGGGGAGAGACTGGGGCAGGTCTTGAGAATGTTATCTGGGATGAGTTTGATCCTGTGACCCCTGAGGATGTGGACAGGATTCTGGGCAGACTGAATGCGACAACTTGTTTATTGGACCCATGTCCTTCCTGGTTAGTACTGGCTTCCCGGAAAGTGACACAAGGCTGGCTCCAGGAGATTATAAATGCTTCGTTGGGTGAGGGTGACTTTCCCACCACCTTGAAAGAGGCGGTGGTGAGGCCTCTCCTCAAGAAGCCTTCCCTAGACCCGGCAATGTTGGTAAACTATTGTCCGGTCTCCAACCTTCGCTTCGTGGCGAAGGTTGTTGAGAGTGTGGTAGCGCAACAGCTCCCCCAGGACCTGGATGAAACGACGTATCTAGATCCATTCCAGTCGGGCTTCAGGCCCGGGTACAGCATGGAAACGGCATTGGTCGCGTTGGTAGATGATCTCTGGAGGGCTCGGGACAGGGGGTGCTCCTCTGTCCTGGTCCTGTTAGATCTCTCAGCAGCTTTTGATACCATCGACCATGGTATCATGCTGCACTGGTTGGAAGAGTTAGGAGTGGGAGGCACTGTGTTGCAGTGGTTCTCCTCCTTTCTCTCTGACCGGTCGCAGTCTGTGTTGACAGGGGGGCAGAGATCAACCCTGAGGCCCCTCATATGTGGGGTGCTGCAAGGGTTGGTCCTCTCGCCCCTCCTGTTCAACATTTATGTGAAGCCGCTGGGTGAGATCATCTGTGGTTTCGGGGTGAAGTACCACCAGTATGCTGATGACACCCAGCTGTACATCACCCCAACGATGCCCTTGAAGTGATGTCCTGGTGCCTGGAGGCCGTGCGGATCTGGATGGGGAGGAACAGGCTCAGGCTCAACCCATCCAAGACCGAGTGGCTGTGGTTTCCGACGTCTCGATATAGTCAGTTGGTGCCATCATTGACTATTGGGGGCGAATCATTGGCCCCCACGGAGAGGGCGCGCAACTTGGGCATCCTCTTGGATTCACGGCTGTCTTTAGAAGAGCACTTGACGGCCGTGACCGGGAGGATTTTTCATCAGGTTCGCCTGATCCGCCAGTTGCATCCCTTTCTGGATCGGGACTCCTTACGCACAGTCACTCATGCCCTCGTCACCTCCCTCCTGGACTATTGTAACACTCTCTACATGGGGCTCCCCTTGAGGACAACCTGGAGGCTCCAACTGGCGCAGAGTGCAGCCGCGAGCGTGGTATTGGGAGCGACATGGCGTTCCCATGTAACACCCCTCCTGCGCGAGCTGTACTGGCTCCTGGTGGTCTTCCGGGTACGCTTCAAGGTTTTGGTTACCACCTTTAAAGTGCTCCATGGCTCAGGACCTGGGTACTTGTGGGACCGCCTACTACCACCAATAGCCTCCCACCGGCCGGTACGCTCCCATAGAGAGGGGCTCCTCCGGGTGCCGTTGACCAAATAATGCTGACTGATGGCCCCCAGGGGGAGAGCCTTCTCTGTGGGGGCACCTACTATCTGGAACGAGCTCCCCCCGGAGATACGGAGGATCCCGGATCTGCGTACCTTCCGCCGCGCTCTAAAGACCTTTTTATTTCACCAGGCGGGCCTGGCCTAACTTTCTCCCTCTTTCTAAACAATTTTAATCTTTTAATATTTTTAATATTTTTAATCCTCCAAGTTTAAATTTGTTTTAAATTGATTGGGGTTTTAATCTGCTGGGCCAAACTATTTAATTCAATTTTATTTCTGCTTTTTAAATTTTGTATGTATGTATTTTATTGTTGGCTGTTTACCGCCCTGAGTCCTTCGGGAATAGGGCAGTATAGAAATAATAATAATAAAAAAAACAGTTGGGCCAATCTAATTGCTGGAGACATCATCTTCTAAGCACCAGGCCCCACGACAGATAGATTTTGGTTCTAAACACAGTTAATTTTAAAAGGATGCATGCATTTTTAAATACACTCATCTCTTTATGGGTTTGTGATTAGCATAGTCAAATTTTACCTTTATAACTCTGAAGGGCACCCTGAGACCATCTAGCCCAAGCCCTCCTCTCTGCAGGAGTCCCAGTCAAAGCTTCTCTGACTGATGGCTGCTCAGTCTTTGCCTCCTCAGTGAAGGGGAGGCTGAACTTCTCTGCTTTGAGGGCTCAGCTCTGAAATGGCTCCTCTTTTCAGGGTCTTTTTCCTCTCCTTCAGCCAGAATCTCCTCCCTTCTGACTGAGCTCATTTCCCCATTTCCCCTCCTCCCTCTGGAACAACATGGAGGAGATCTGGAGTTTCTGGGCAACTTCTTCCAGTTATTGGAAGAGGCAGAATGGGATTTACGACCACAGTTGAGCTCAGCATTTCTGTTGCTAAGCAAGACAGTCGTTAAGTAAGTTTTGCCCTATTATGACTTTCTTGCCTTTTCTTCTTAAGTGAATCATCGCAGTTGTTAACATGGTTGTTAACTAAATCCGGCTTCCCTGTTGATTTTGCTTGTCAGAAGTCGCAAAAGAGCCTTGGTACTACAGGGGTTTAAGGCACCCTGTTATTAAGCTGCTTAAGACCAGCTGCCTGCAATTACTGCAGGGTTCGAATCTCGCCAAGGCTCAAGGTTGACTCAGCCTTCCATCCTTTCTAAGGTAGGTGAAATGAGGACCCAGTTTGTGGGGGCAATAAGCTGACTTTGTATAAATATACAAAAGGATGAAGGCTATTGCTGAGCACATTGTAAGCCGCCCTGAGTCTTCGGAGAAGGGCGGCATATAAATCAAATTTAAAAAAAAAAAAAAAAAAAAAGGAGATCAGGCGACCCTAAAACACTGTAACCATCATAAGTGGATGCCAAGAATTCAGATGTTGATCACCTGGAGACCGTGGGGATGCTGCCATGATCCTGGGAAAAACTACCATGGCACTTTTTTCAGTGCTGTTGTAACTTTGAAATGGTCACTAAATGAACCATTTTTCATAATCAACCTGATGTTTTCCAGACGTTTATAAATATTTTTTTTCCTATGATTCATTTCATTTATCATCTGCTCTAGAATGTCCCCTATAATTTACCAATTGCATCAATTATATTTTGTTAATATATATTTTGCCAATATATGGTTGAGCAATTTGCTGAACTTTTGTTTTATTTATGAAGGTAGTAACACCTATTTTTCTAAATGTATATTTTGATGTTAGGCAGCTGTAGAAAAAAGATTCAAATGTAAAAAGGATAAATGGGATTTTTAAAAAAGCTTTCACATTTTAAACTTCCTGGATGTTCCCCTTCTAGTTCCATCCTTTCCTGCAGAAGAATCAGTTTTACAATATTTCTCAGAGGAAACTCTACTTGGATCAAAATGGAGATGTAGCAGCAGATCTGGGAATTGTGAGCTGGTTGATTCTCCCCAAGGGGGATCCCATCAAACTTCGAATGGGGGCTTTGCAAAGACAGAGACTTAATATCTTCCAAGATGCTCTTTCACAGCTAAAGTTGCTCAACAAGGTGGGAGAAATTATGGTGTGATTCCTGTTTTTCCCAAAGATTTATGACCCATTTCATGTGGACTAAGCCTAGTTTCCAGGGTCCATGACCTTCACTGGGAATTGAACATGGGGAGTAGAAACCTTATAGTTTTCTTTCTATAGACCACTTGGGAGCCTTCAGTACTTTAGACCAAGCTGTTCTTCAGCTGCTGTAATACTGAAGACTCTTTGTAGCTGGTTCAGCCATGTCCAACCTGGGATGAGAAACCCTCAAGTGCTGGAGGTTGTGTTGTTAAGAGCCTCAGGTTCGCTTGTTCCTTGTCCTGAAAGAGCAAAGCTGAAGGGGATTCTGTTGAAGAGACCCTGAATTGAGGTTTGGACTGAATGAGATGAAATTGGATTATGGCTGGATGGAGCTCCTGGGGGTCCCATTGGGAGAGAAGCTTCCTCTTGTCCTGCTTTTAGAAAGGCCATTGGGAAATGGTTCCCTCAAAGGGCAGGTCCATGGTCTGTGATGTTTTTAAGTAGTCCAGACCTGGTCAAAGGTAGCCATATCTGTCTTTGGGGGGAGCAATTGACCTTCTGCCCCTAGGAAGGAGGTCCGAGGCTTTCAGTTCACGTAAAATGATAGTGACCAGTGAGACAATCCCTTGACCCAGAAACCTGAAACACAACTTTAGTTCAAAGAAAAGATCTTCCTGATATCAGAAGTAATGAGACAGATTGTGACAGGAAATGCTAGTTAGATTTGGCCTTTGCTAATTAAGAGGGTTCTTCATCTGAAAATGAATGGCCTTGTTTATCTTGAGTGTTAGCTATCTTCAGTCCCTCTGGGTGAAAAGGAGTCTCCAAATTCAACTACTATTAAATGTGGGTCTGTCTTTCCATGCCAGTTGGAGTCTCCTAATTGGAGTTCTTCAACACAAAGAACTTTTTCTTGGCTAACTAGATGGGCCTTAGAAATATCTCCTTCTGACCCAGGACTCACACTCATGTCCCCTCTGTTGCAGCCAAAGATTGGAGACTCAGTCTTTTTCAGGGACACCTTCTCATGATCTCCCCTCAATCTCACTACAGTTCTAGAAACTATGCAGAAACCTTCAGTCTTAATAAAGGAGAATATTGGTAGCTCAGCGTTGACATGAGGGCTCCTTGGTGCTCTCTGAGCTTGCTTGTTTTCTTCCAGGCGTTTCATTACCCAACTAGGTAACATCATCAGCTATAATTTATGAGGAATTTTTGCTTTGTCTCTTAACGGGGAGACTGTTTTGAACTAGTGTCAAAGGGGACCAGCTTTGCAAGGCTTTCTGTAGTCCAGAAGAAACCTTTCCAGACCCTACTGGTCAGAAGTTTCCTTTTTAATAACGTTTTACTCTACTTAAATAAATCTTTATTAAATAAAATAATTTAATAAATATTTGACAATGACTGTATTTAAAAATTTAATATGATCATCATCACCATGGATAGATAGATGAAGAGTGGAGGAATGCCTTTTAATACAGTCATGAGGGGGAACCTTTAAGTTTGTCACAATGCTTAAATCTTTTCTCAATTCCATCCTTCCAGAATTTATTAAATAGAAAAGTCCTTTATTATTCCAACGTGTTGTGCCAGAAGCAAAAGGGAGGAACTAAAGGAAGAACCTTCCAGGGTCACATCTCCTACACCTGTTTGGAAGGAGTCAGAGATTTCCTATTTACCTCAGTGAAGCATAGAGGCTACTTGGCTAATGTCCATTTCTCCTCCCATTTTCCATGGACGGAGAGTCCTAACACATTTTCTTTGGCATTCCTTGTTTTTCTGCTCAGTCCCTGCCTCAGTCCAAATGTGTGGAAAGTTGCCATCCTGGATTTGTCAAGAGGGCTCGAGAAGGAGAGCCAGTTTGCTGCTATGATTGTGTTCCTTGTCCGGAGGGGACCTTCTCCACTCAAAAAGGTGGGTGACACCAGGGGAAAGGAAGGCCTGGTGGAAATGGATTTATCCAGAGCATTTTGATGAAAGTGCAAATTAAACATGCCTTAAAGTTCAACTAAAGTTTTTTTTGTTTATTCAAAATGCACTAGAAATCCTCTGATTTCATATTCCTTGGCTATAAAAGTATTAGAAAATTTTATTATCATTTTTTTCCCCTGTGGAATTGTTAAACAACACATCTTGGAAAGTATTCCTGGAATCGGGCTTTGTCCAAAAAAGTTATTTCTTGAAATGTAAAAAAACAGAATATTAAAGAAATATTGCTTTTTGGCTTTCTCAGATACAGAAAAATGCACCAAGTGTCCAGATGACAAATATCCAAATAAGAACAGTGTCCAATGTATTCCCAAGGTTATAACTTTCCTGTCTTATGAAGAACTTCTGGGTATCATCCTGGTCTCTTTTGCCCTTCTCTTCTTCCTAACCACAGGCCTTGTTTTAATCATCTTCATTAAATACAGAGAAACTCCCCTTGTCAAAGCCAACAACCGGGACCTCTCCTACATCCTCCTGGTCTCCCTCCTGCTTTGCTTCTTGTCTCCTTCTCTCTTCATTGGTCAACCAAGGAAAGCCACCTGCCTTCTCCGACAGATGGTCTTCAGCATCATCTTCTCAGTTGCCATTTCTTCTCTCTTGGGCAAAACCATCACGGTGGTGCTGGCCTTCCTGGCCACAAAACCAGGAAACCGAGTGAAGAGATGGTTGGGGAAGAGCTTGGCCAACTCCATCATCCTCTCTTGTTCTGCAGTCCAAATTATCATCTGCTCCACCTGGATGGGAGTTTCTGCCCCCTTCCCTGACTCTGACCTCCACTCCCAGCCTGGAGAGATCATCCTGCAATGCAACGAAGGGGCCGTTGTCATGTTCTACGTCACCCTCAGCTACATGGGCTTCCTGGCTGCCATCTGCTTCACGGTGGCTTTCCTGGCCAGGAACCTGCCTGGGGCCTTCAACGAAGCCAAGCTGATCACCTTCAGCATGCTGGTCTTCTGCAGTGTCTGGGTGACTTTTGTGCCCACCTACCTGAGCACCAAAGGGAAATCCATGGTGGCTGTGCAGGTCTTCTCCATCCTGGCCTCCAGTGCTGGTCTGCTGGGCTGCATCTTCATCCCCAAGTGCTACATTATCCTTCTGAGGCCAGACCTCAACACAAAGGAGCAGCTCACAGCCAGAACAAATGTAAAAACATGAGATATGACACCATTGTGATATTGGAAGAATTATTAGATTTTCTTTTATTTGAAAGGATATATTCTTTCCATTTAGATAGTATGCAGGAGTCAAAGAAAATCATTTCTATATGTTTCAAATTTGGACATTTTTGAATTCTTCACAAAGGAGCAGCTTACAGCCAGAAGAAATGTGGAAATGTGAGACTGAGGAATTTCAACTTTTAACATTTTCCACAGTCCAAACATAGAAAATGGTCCAAGCTGCTCTGCATGCATGAGTGGGCCAACTATTTTTCTTGAAATAAATAAAGGGTGTGTGGAAGATTGTGAGGAGGCAAATTTCTTGGAGAAATGGGAGCATGTTAGCAAGACAGAAATATAGAAGGAATGTATGGAGCAATGTTGATGCCCTCATTTCTCAGTACATTTCACCCAAACTGCTGTGGCAACTGAGACGTTTCTTTTTGTTTACACAATAACCCTTTCTTGAGGGTAGCAACAATACAAGGCTGGGGAGGTAACTTGAGTCTCGCTAATTCTGAATATTCATGCTCACATCATCTATTAAATGAAATATGCATATGTATGATTGTCATTTTCTCCTCCTTTCCTGGAATGTATAAATATGAGTGCATCCTTTTGTCTGTAAGATTTCCTCTCACTATTTTCTGGGGAGAATTCCTCCAGTGGACACTGAATAAATAACAACTGCAGTGAGCCTGTATTATTGGGTTTTTTTGGCTCCTGTGTTTGATTCCACAGAAACTGGTGTCAGGAGTGGGATTCACCATCTTCCATCTGCCACCAGGGACAACAGATGGGGCAGCCCTATAGGGTGAGTGTTGAGAGATTGATCCCATAACCCTTCCCACTCCCACATAAAGGCACAATTGAGGAGTGTGTGAGATACCACAGTCTGTGTCCAAGTGTCTCTTGTGGCTGGAAAGGTTTGTGGTCCCTTCCGTCCCAATTTCTCAGCCGCCCTGGCCCTGCTGTGAGCTCAGCCGAGCGATGTCTGGAGGTATCCAGGAACTGAGGGAGAATTTGGCTTTGTGGAGTGAGTGGGACCGTCTGTGTGGAAGAATGGAGACTGATCCTGAGGTTCTGTGCAAACTCCCTTTTTCCTATTGTCTGAATGGAGGAATTCAGCTGATCCCAGGCAGGGAGGGAAGTGGTTGATGTGGTTCCAGCTGAGCATTGTCTGGAGGTATCCAGGAACTGAGGGAGAATTTGGCTGATGATGGGGCTCCAGCAGTCTCTGATTGGGGAAGGAATCTTTCCCAAAGAAACAGTGAAACCTGCTGTGTCCCAGGGCTGGGATGGGGTCCGATGCCCCCAATGGTGCCTCCAAAGGCTGCAAAAAAGGCAGTGTGTTAAATTGGAAGGGATGATTAAAAAAAAAAAAACCTCTTCCTCCTTGTGAGAAGAGAAATTCCTGTATCTGCACAAGGCTGTGACAGATTCCCTGAGAGGCTCTGGAGCAGCAGGAACTTCTCCCTGCCTCCAAGACCTTCCACCCAGCCCTGTCCTCCCATTCTGCCCCCCTGCTCCCTCAGCCTTGTGGCCTCTGGGGGTCTCTGCTCCCCCTCGGCCTCTCCTGGGGACCCCTGGGCTCCCCTCCAGCTTCTGGCTGCTCTCCTCTCTCCTCTTCTCCTGCGGGCTCTTCGGCCCCCGACTGCTCAGCCTATTCAGCTGCTCAGTTCTGGCTCCCAGATCCGGCTCTGGCCAGACTCACCTGGCACACGAGGTAGCAAGTCCCCCACCCCACCTCCCTCCCTCCCTCCCTCCCTCCCTCCCTCCCCCAATCCTCCACCCTCTCCTGGACAGACAGTTGGACATGATGCTCTTTCGATGGAGACATTTTAAACCAATAACCAATAGGCATCCTGGCCATTCTGAGGCTGCTCAGCTCCAGTGGCTGCTTAAGGAGGAACAGACTGTGGTTACAGCAAAGGCGGCTATATTCTCTGCAGCAGCACTGGGGATTCATGGGAAACACGGAATAATCCATCATAGCTATTTCACACAACTAAGGTAGCAAATCCTTTTGCATTACTCCTCCTTTGCATTTAATGACTGTGGGCCTCACAGTTTAAGGAGTGATATTGTAATATCCTTAGGCCATGTATAACTGACATTGGATGCCAAATTGTGATTTTAATATAGAGTTTATCTGTTTATTATTTCATTCTAGGATTTTTAACTAGATATTCCTTGAGTGTTTTTATTTGTTCTGATCTCTTGATTTGATTTGATTTAATGCAATTCAATTTAGCAAGAAGGGGACTAAAAAGACATATGATAGAGTTGACTGTTCCCCATGTAGTGAATACTTTCCTCAGATAAAGGAACAATTCTTGTGTCTTAAAGAAATGCACCATCACTTTGAGGTTGCAGTGATCACATCTAAAAAAATAGGATAGAACTAACCTTTAATTGCTGTTCAGGGGCCTGTTCATTCATTGCTGTTAAGTCTCTGTTACTTGCTGATAATGAATTAGAACAGCCTGCCCAAATCTGATGGCCTCCAGATGTGAATTAATGCCTGCTCCTGATTCATGCTTGGCAACAAGTCCACCTTCCTCCGAGAAGGGGGACCCAGATGTGTTTGCCAACACTGGTGCAGCTCCGTTTGTAGTCCTCTCTCCTCTAAGTCAGGCGGAACCTCCCCTTCCCCAGATGTGGCTGCCTAGAATTGGGGGAGGGAAGAAGGGCCCAGCTGTTTCATCATTTCCCCCACACACACAACTTCCCAAGGAACAGAAGTGGGGGATGAGCTCAGGGGCCTCAGCACAATGGCCGTGGATAAAGGCCAAGGCAGAAAGGGGGCTTTGCAGTCCTGGGGGGGGGACAGATTGGCCTCGGCTGCCTCTCCAGGGGCTCCTCCGTAGGCAGCTGCCAGCAGAAGGACCATCGCCCTCGGAGTGCTGGGCAGAACACAGACCAGGGAAGGGATTAAGGGGGGGGGAGAAAGTTGGGGGGTCCTTTCAGATCCTGGGGGGAGGGGGGAGAATTGAGAGAGTGGAAATCTGCAGCTGATGAAAAGCTCCAGGCAATGCAACGGCTCTTGGAGCCTCACCTGGACGCAGGCAAGGAAAGGGGGGAGGTTGAGACCTTCCCCACAAGAGGAGATTCCCTTCTCTCCCGCTTTCCACACACACACACCCGTCCAAGAGCCTCCAACTTTGCCCCCCCCCCCCCCACCGCTGCTGCTCTTGGCCTCTCCTGCTCTCTCCGCGGAGCTGGGCGCTGTTTCTCCTCCGCCCTACTTGGCCAGAGAGGGCGCAACCTTGCCAGAGAGAAACCGGGCCTGGAGTTCGGGGGTGGCCGATCTGCCCCTCCCAAGACCAGCTTCCCCGCCCCCCATTGTAGAGTGGAAAATTAAGCCTGAAAAGTGCTATTTTATTTCTCTGGTTGAGGAAAGAAAGAAAAAAATACAGTTGAAATTTTTTTACACTTTTCATTTTTTTATTTACTTTATTTATTTATTTATTTATTTATTTTATGTTGGTGTGAAGTACACACCAAAATAAAAACAATCCCAAACTGAAATCCCAGACAGCTGTTCTGCTGAACCCTTTCTGCAAAGGAGGTTTTTATCAGGAAATGAAGAAAGAACTATATACGGTATATAATAAAGCAGGGAGAAGAGATGGGGAATCCAGGAGGATCCATGGAAGAGGAAAACAGTTGAGACTCTGCCGGACAGAGAGCAGTTGATCCCTAAGATCCCCTCTCAGGAATGGAGGATCTCAGCATGCAGAGCATCTGGGATCTTTCTGGATCTGGTGGTCTCAAGTTGTGGCTCCAGGTGGATTTTGGGGGGAAGTGGCTGTCAGGTGGTTGGTTGCAGCCATAGCTCTGAATGGGGGTTTCTGCAAAGCAGGAGAGATTGGGGGGTCTGTAGGGTCCTTATTTTTCTCTCTCTAAACTCTCCAACTGCAGCCGGAGTCGCCTGTCTCAGCCTCAAAGGAGCCAATGTGGCAATCGGAAGGCTGAAGAACTTCGGCTGTTGCTGAAAGCAGAAAAAACACCTCCTGCATCTTCCCCCCTCCCTTCGCCCCATAACTAATCCCTCCCCCGTTTCTTATGGCAGCTGAAGCAGGCAAAGCTGAGGCTGACATTCAGCCCCTCTTGCAGAAGAGACGTTATTCCTAAATAAGAGGAAAGAAAGGAGAGAGAAATAGAATATATACAATAATTAAGGTTTATCTGGGTATTTGGTATAGAATTGCTGTACTTTCTTGGGAGCTCGGACATCCCGTTTATTCACCCATTCAGCTTGAGACAAAGGGAAATGTTTCCAGGCAATCAGATATTGGACTTTACCATGGTGTTTTCTAGAGTCCAAGATTTCCTTAACTTCAAAATGTTGCTCCCCCTCTATGAGAATGGGAATTGGAGGGGTGCTTTGGTCAGCCCTTAGGGGAGACGAGTGTTCAGGTTTCAATAAACTAACATGAAATACAGGATAATAATAATAATAATAATAATAATAATAATAATAATAATAATAATAATAATAATAATAATAATAATAATAATAATTTTTATTTCTATACCGCCCTTCTCCCGAAGGACTCAGGGCGGTGTACAGCCAATTTAAAAACACAAGACACAACAATAATTAAAAATTAAAATAATTAAATAGATTTGGCCGATTTAAAACCCCAAAAATTAAAATACCCCAATTTAAAATTATTATATTGACAGCCCTGCCTGGCGGAACAACAGGGTCTTCAGTGCGCAGCGGAACACCCGGAGGTCGGAGATCTTACGTATTTCCGGGGGCAGTTCATTCCACAGGGCTGGGGCTCCCACAGAGAAGGCCCTCCCCCTGGGTGTCGCCAGCCGACATAACTTGGCTGATGGCACCCTGAGGAGACCCTCTCTGTGGGAACGGACTGGTCGGTGGGAGGCTATTGGTGGCAGAAGACGGTCTCGAAGGTATCCGGGTCCTGTGCCATGGAGCGCTTTAAAGGTGGTAACCAACACCTTGAATGTATACATTCAACACCTTGAATGTATACATCTCAACGTTTTTGGCAATTCCAATTCAACTGTTACTGGATTAATCAGTCTAATCACACGGAATGGTCCTACATACTTAGGCCCCAGCTTTTTGGACTTCTGGGTAGTCTGTAAGTATTTGGTAGACAAATAGACTTTGTCCCCCACTTTATAAATGTGAGCTGGGGACCTTTTCTTATCGGCTTGCGCCTTATGAGCCCGGTGTGCCTCATCTAATGCCTTCCGAGTCACTGCCCATGTGCTCTTTAATTGTTCAATCCAATCCATCAAGGAGGGATTTTGGGGATCATCTTGTGGTAGCTCGGGAATGGGTACGAAATCCTGGCCCGATGCGACCTTAAAAGGGGTGAATCCGGTGCTACTGTGTACAGAATTGTTATATGCCACTTCTGCAAATGGCAACAAGTCTACCCAATTATCTTGCTGGTAATTTACGTAACACCTCAGGTATTGTTCTAGCATCCCATTGGTTCTTTCACAGGCCCCATTTGTCTGAGGGTGGTGACTGGAACTTAATCCCTGTGCGGAGCCTATCAATTTCAAAAACTCCTTCCAGAAACTGGAAGTAAATTGCACACCCCTGTCAGAAATTATTCTTTTCGGAGATCCATGTAGTCGGTAAATCTGCCGAATAAACAGTTTTGCGAGGGTTTTTGCTGAAGGGATCTTTGAGCAAGGGATGAAATGTACTTGTTTGGAAAACAAATCAGTTACTACCCAAATGACAGTGCAGCCCTCACTGTCTGGTAAGTCCACAATAAAATCCATAGATATTTCCTTCCATGGGGCGTTTGGTCTAGCCACACTTTGCAGCAATCCAGGGGATTTTCCTGGAGGTCTTTTAGCCGAGGTACATACTGGACAGCTAGCCACATATGCTTCTATGTCCTTTTTAAGTGCAGGCCACCAAAATTGTCTCTTAACAAGATGTAGAGTCTTGACAAACGCAAAGTGTCCTGCGGCCTTGGCATCATGAGCATATTTCAATACGGTTGTTCTTAATGTGGCTGGAACATACAATTTCGATCCAACCCAAGCTAGTTAGTCGCGAAGTGTGCATTCATTCGAGTGGGCCTTAAACCACTCGTCAGTTTTTAGCGCTTCTCGTAATTTTTCGAGCAAATCCCCAGAGAGTTCTGGTTCGGTTTTACCCTGCGCTCTGGTAGTGACAGGTGTTGCCAACTGCAATAAGGGGATCATTGGTTGAACCACTTCCTTCTTTTTTTTTTTATTGCAAAAGTTTTACAATTACATTTTCACCCCTTTTTCCCCCCCCTCCACCCCCCCAAACTTCCCAACCTCCTAACCCTCCCTAACCCTCCCCTCCCCCCAGACTTCCCTATAATATACTCATAACTCGTAAAAAAAAACACACAAAAAAAACCCTTAATATGACACTTATGTGTAAACTTGAACCCCTCCCTCCCCTGTATAATTTTTCTTTTTACCTCATTACATTAAAATATTTCTAAAACATTATTTTCAAATAAAAGCTATTTGATACTTTCTAGTTTGATATTTGTTCTGAACATATTCTATCCATCTTTTCCATTCCCATTCATAAGTCTCTTGTGAGCAATCTTTTAAATATGCTGAAATCTTCGCCATCTCTGCAAAACTGGCCATCTTCAAAGTCCATTCCTCAATAGTGGGCAAAGCTTCATTTTTCCAATATTTACCTATCAACAATCTTGCTGCTGTTATCATATACAATAT